AGGGTGGAGGCAGGGGCAGCGTGGGGGTCCTGGAGCCTGGCAGACGTGGCCTGCAGAGTCACCATCTTCCCACACTGCTCCTTGCTGGCTGACACCTGCAGGGAATGGATTTGCACAGCAATCTGGCCTGTGGTGCCTCAGGCTCAAGCTGGGATCTTGCCCAGCAAGGAGCTTTCACTAGGTGTTAGCCGTCATCCTCACAGACATCCCCCTTGCTGGGAGCCCATTAGCAGCGCCCAGGACTCTGCTGGGCGCTTAAATACTTTCCGTGCTTGGCTGCACACACTGCAGACATTTCCTCACTGCTGCCACAGCAGAGGCCCTAAGCACAGACCTTCCCTGCACCCCGAGATGCTCACAGGGCTGGGTCTGGCTCCCTGACATGGACCCTGCTCGTGGTCCATCACCACCTCTGCAATTCCCTGCATGTATGAAGCTGTCCTCAGGGTCTTGCACCAAGCTCCCAGGTCTGCAGGCAGCCTGCAGACCCCTTCTCCCTTCCCAGCCCCATGGGCAGAGGGTGCAGGATGCTCCTGGCTGGGGATTGCTGGTCCACCCTGGCACCCCGAGGTCTGCAGGGACTCTGGGTCTGCTGGGCTCCTTGATGCCAGCAGCTGTGCTGGAGGGGAGACAGATGTATTGCAAGAGTTTGGTTAAACACCTCCAGTGCCTGCCCTGCAGCCCCGTGCTGGGTCCCCCCATCCCATCAGGAGCAGCCTGGGCTGTTCCACAGTTTCCTGCCTGCCTCTGCAGCCAGCACTGTCGTGATGATCTAATCACTGGGCTGTCCTGGACCAGTCATTGTTTGCTTTTCCTCCACACAAGGTCCCGGCCATGATACGCAGTTCCCTGGGGATTTCTGAGCATCCACAGTTGTTTTTTTTTCCCCCCTGTAATCTCTTGTTTACCTTTCTTTAGCTTTCTCTGTGTCTTCTGCTCTTGATGGCTTGTTTCTCCCAGATCAGGGGTTTTGGCCACTGTTCCCCAGGTTTGGTGTGCTGGGGCTGTGTGTGTTTTTGGCAGCAGCAGGAAGCACAGCTGTGTTGCTCTGTACCTGCTCCCCCCTGGAGCTGAAGGGTGGGTGGTGCTGGGGCGGTGGGGACCGGTGGGCATCACTTGCTGTGCCATGGGTGCATCATAGGAAGCTCCTGCTCCAAGCGGGCTGTGCTCTGCTCTGCCCATTCCCTGCAGCCTGCCGCCTCACCG